TAAAATATATTGAAATGTATTATTGTTGTAAAATAATACTGAAAAATAAGGAAATATACCAGCAGAAATACAAAACTTATCATTTAAGAGAAGTTTTATTGATAATTCACTGAGTTAGAAATATCATGGTATAAATCATAGTTGAAGGGTTAGGGATGAAGCCCCATGGTTGAGCTCTTTCCTAGCAAGCTCATGGCTCTGGGTTCAGTCCTCATGCCACATACACACATATACATAACACACACACATAACACATGCACATATACATAATATACACAACACACACATACACACATATACATTAGAGTTGAAATAAAATGAAGTGCTACCATATGCACTAACTCATTAATTATCCTAAAATATCTAATTCCAGGAATATGTGTATAACTCCAGTTTTGACAACCTTTAATTTCCCAAGTCTTTTAAAAACTCTTATGAATATTTTTAAGTTATATAGGTGTAAATACTAAATATGCACCTGTTGAGCTGATATTTTTCTTGAAAATATGTATGTTAACATTAGAATAAAGGAGAGTATTTCATTTTCTTTACCAGATTTAAATGAATATTTTAGTATTTGATAAATGACTTTTCTACATTATTGCAGACAGCATTTGAATGAATTTAAATGTTGGTTGCTTCATGGATTTTGAAATAATAAGGGCAGCTATCCACAACTGATATGAATTTATTCATTCAAATAAGTTGTTAAGGATTTTGAAGACTACCACTTGATCTCAAAATATTTTATTTAGAAAAAATTGGCTTTCCTAACACATTGTAAAATTTTCAGTGTTTTTACAGACAATGCAATCCCTGAACAGAACAAGCTGTCCTTAAGCTAAGCAGATAACCTAAACATTGTTTTTGAAAAGATCACTGAGTTTTTAAATGAAGGACAACTTTCTTCTGTGATATATTATTTTGTCTTATATATTAATAGACTTTTAAATAATCTTATTTTAGGAAAAATCTTATGTAATTTAAAGGTCAGGTTAAATATTAACCGGAATCTAATTAATAACTATATTTGATTACATAGCTCATGCTAAAAAACAGCACATTCTTTTCCACATAATTCATAAAAGTTCTGTGTGAGTTAAGAATTATAAAAAGCTGATCGGACATATACTGTATTTTGAATTAAATGATTTGAACACTTGATCTATATTTCATGTAGGTACAAACTGTCAGGAAGATGTTGATGAGTGTGAGTCTGAGCCTTGCTTTCCAGGAGCAGGTTGCCTCAATACCTTTGGATCTTATCACTGTGGTCCCTGTCCAAAAGGATTTTATGGTGATGGGAAAATATGTCATGGTAAAAGTTCCTATTTTCTGCTGCATTTAACTATTCCAGTCACCCAATTCCATTTTACTTTTATTCCTACATCATTCAGTGTGTACACATTCAGCATTGTATTTGAAACTAGATGCAGAGGATGCAGAAATGTATCAGACATGTCCGCCAACTCCTTAGGTGAGAATGGAGTAGTATGAATGGTACCTACCTGGAGGGATAATAAAAACCCTTAAAAGAAAATGTTTACATTATGTTAGACACACAAGAAATGTATCTAATGTAGCAGATCAAGGGAGAGAAAAGCAATCCAGGTAGAAGGAATAGCATGAGCAAAGGAAAAGAGCTATGTGACATCACAAGACACATTGGGAACTCTGAATAATTCACTTTTCCCGGATTACAGAAGGGAAGGAGAGCTGCTACAATACTTAAATTTAGAGAGAAAGGCAGCAGGAAGACCATGGAGAGCTCCTTACAATTTTGAAATAGAGAAACATAATAAGATTTACATCTGAGAAAGTTTATTTAAGTAATGTAGAAGATAGAGCACTTGTGGATAAGGGACTGTATAAATCTGAAGGTGAAAAGAAAATTTAAAACTGCATCTCAAAAGTATAAGAAAAAAATGAAGATATTCTGGCCTAAAGTGAGAGGACAAATGAAAGATAGTAAAGAAGCAAAGAAGTGATATTTAATGATTGGGATTAGCCTGATAAGGAAAAGAAAATTGTTAAATTTTAGATGTTTGAGCAGGTGTGTAGAATTGGCATTCACATTGCTATGGACTGAACTGTATCCCCCTAAAATTCAGATTTTGAAGCCTATGTAGCTACATATGGAGTAGGGAAGTAATTAAGGTTAAAAGAGTGAAAAGGGTGGAGCCCTGATTCAATAGGATTATTAACTTTTACGAGGAGACACCAGAGAGCTCTGCTGTCATGTGAGAATGTACTGGGAAAGTGAACAATTCCAGTAAATGAAGAGGGTGTTCAAAAACCAAACAGACCAGTGCCTTAATCATGAATTTCAGGCCTCCAGAACAATAAGGAAATAGCTTTATATTCATTCACCCAGGCTAATGAGCTAACACATGCAACATGTAGGAAGAAGTGGTTTTGGAAGAGAATAGTAAAGAATCAGTTTGCATACAAGAAGAATGGAAGGACTGTAGTATAGCCACATGATGCTCAAGACAGAGGACTTAAAGACTCAGTTCTTACCATCATCAGCTATGGAATAAAATTACACAGGGGGAACACACATTTAAAAGGGGACAAAAAATTTTGTAGATATCAATACTTTTAAAAGAGAAAAGCAGGTATCAAAAAATATATATCTGGCATAGTTGAATGGGATCCTGTTTTGTTAACGAATGTATTAATGACATAATACTACCATTTTTGCTTGAGATTGGGGTGGACCTGTCTAGAACTGAGGTCACAAGTATGAGGACCACAGTGCAGAAATTCAAGAGGATTTCCTACTCTGTCAACTGTTTGCATTTTCCCCTCAGTGTCCAGTTCCTAATATTTTCCCCTTCCACTCTGTGACTAACATCCTTCTTTTCCAAAAAGTCCTATTTCTCAATAAAACCTTTATCCAGTGAGCTTACAGAAAGAAAGCAAATTGAACCAAATCCCAAAACACATGAGTGACTAAGAGGTTTCTTAACATTGTCAGAGTAATTTGTGTATTTTAGGAAGATGCTTAATACTACAAAAGAAATTTTGGTTTCTAGTGGTTACTTAGTTTTATGATAGGCAACAAAGTTGAAGAATATAAACATAAATAAAGCACAGTTTTTATTACTGAGGCTATTGCTAACTGCTTAGGGAAAGGGATCCGTAAGAATCACTAGCATGAAAGACAAAGTGCTGTGGACAAATTCAGATGGACAAAATAGGTTGAATGTGTGAGTGACACTGAAGAAAAGTCTATGGATCACCTTGGGCTGCTGTAAGAGAATACCAGAATCTGAGGGACTCAAACAACAGAAATTTACTTTCTCACAGTTCTGGGGCCTGGAAGTTCAAGATCAAGGTGCTAGTTTGCTTGGCTTTGGGTGAGACCTTCTTCCTGGCTTGCAGATGGCTGCTTCCACATTGGACCTTTCCTGTGTGTATGTTTTTCTGGTGTCTTTTCCTTTTCTTAGAAGGCCAACAGTTCTCTTGGATCAGGGCCCTACTCTTCTGACTTTCTGTAACCTAAATTAGCTTCTTAAAGACCCAGTCACTAAATACAGCCACATTTAGGGTTAGGGCTTCAATGTGTCAATTTTGAGGCACACAGTTTCATACATAACCAGAGGGTCTTCTGAAGAGATGATATCTAAAGTGGTTCTGTAATTTAAATTGCAAAGAGTTCAGTCTAAATGACATGTTTATTATATATTCTTATTCATGATGCTTTGGTTTTATAAGAGTTTTAACTCTTGATTCTTTTTTATGCACCCATTTACAGTTGAAACACAAATTTTAAGTGAATTTACCACACAAACTATGATTATCACAAGATCTGACAAAAATGTACTTAAGGAACAGGGTACCAAACAAGGAGAGAATCATGTTAAGTCAACGAACAGAAATGCCTCTAGTAAGTAATGGTTTTAGCTCAAATCTAGTGAAAATACCTTCAGTTTTTTTTCCACAAAATCAACATAATTATTCCTCAGGTATTTTCCCTTTTAGAAAAATTGTCTGAACATTCTATGTTGCAGCTTAAATTTTATTTTTTCTTGTTAATCTATTGAATCCTTTGGCTTAGATTCTAAAAAATATATTTTGTCACATAAATGAATAAAGAATAGCATCATTTAAGGCAATTTCAGAGAATCTCATTAATTATTGTTCTTTAACTTTTACACTAGGTAACATTCTGTGTTCTCTTATTTACTTAAGTAGGTTATAATACCTTTGAAGGAAAAGTTTCATAACTTATTCATAGCTCCTGGCCTGGCTCATAGTGTAGTTGTAGCTGTGAACAGTGTAGTGTAGTTGTAGACACTAAATGAAAGAATGAATTACTACTTAATGCCAAATATTTGGTGAGAACAGAAAGAAGTTATTGGCTAACCTTTCTATTTCTTTCTGCTTATGTAGGTTTGAATTCTCAGTCACCATCAACAGAACATTCACTAATTGGTGGAAACTTTACCCACAGTCCTGCTATTATCAAAAAGTTCTTGAACATAATGAACATCTCCTATTTGTCACTGCAATCAGTTACAACTCAAAGGGATAATTCACAGATGGTTGTTTCCCATCAGATAACAGATTTTGAATATGCAGATCATGTTGTCAGTGAAAATACCAGACTGGAAAAGTCAAAAATTCCCATGAACAACAATAATTCATTAAGCATTAATCCACATGATTCCAATGGTAAACTAAAAAATGTTACCCATACCACCATCCAAACAGAGACGAGAGACTACAATTCTCCAATTAAAAGTTCTTCCCAAAGTTACACACAATCTAAGGATGAGTTTGCAACATCAGATATTGGAACAATCACTATTTTGCCAGAAAAGTTTGGATTAACCAAAATGTCAACTTGTGCTGACTCACCTTGCTTTCTCGGTGTTTCCTGTGTGCCGACCACAGATGGTCACTTCAGATGTGGACGCTGCCCCTCGGGGTATTATGGAGATGGTATCAGTTGCAGAGGTACTATGAGTATCCTTCACAAGATGCAAAGAAAACTATCTAGTTCAAACTCAAGTAACTAAGAAGACATGCTTTTTTTGCTTGTTAATTTCTATTGATTTTATTTAGCTCATCATCTTTTGAAAAAAAGCAAAAGTGGGGTTTCTGAGTTACTTTTTAAGATCTTAATATCATATACTATTAAAATTATATAATACATACTATAAATATACTAAGTACCTACTATGTTCCAGGTTCTTTAGAAACACCCAATATCAGTTATGTTAACACAATCCACAATCCACCACTCTGCATACTAAGTGTACTTTTCTCATTGTACAAGGAGAGCCTATTCTGAAATAGAGATAAAACAAGGATATGAATATAGATCTGACTAATACGTGGCCTAGTTCTTCTTAGTTCACAATATTTTACTACTTTAAATTACTAATTCTGGAATATTTGTTTATTTTCATAAACTTAAGTGTCATTCTTCCAACTTGAGAGTAACAAGTTTTGATTCATTTTAATTTTATAAATATTGTTTATAATTTCACAATCATCAGCATTGCTTTCCTGATGCAAATCAAAGTTTTGGCTTTGACAACATATAAGCTCTATTTTTTGTTGTTGTTAGCGTTATTGCTGTGTTACTGTATTTTGTTTTGTGTTTTTGTTTGAGAACAAAATTAAGCAAGAAAGCTGTTGTAGTATTTTTATGTTCCTACTATTATCTAAAGAAACTGTTGGTAGGAATATGAATAATAATTCTCAATGCTTATATGTTCATAATACAGAATTCCTTGTTTTCAACAAATTTAAATATTTCATGCATTTCAGTTTCCTCAGAGAAAGTTACATACCCAATAGACTATATCAGGTTGTCTAAAAATGTAAACAACTTCTTCCAGGTTTCTTAGTCTTTGAAATTCTGAATGTCCCTGTCATTCATAAATATTTAGCTGATTAGGGGCTGGGAATTTAGCTCACTGGCACCGTGCCTGAGTTGGATCCCTGGTACAAAA